TTAGACTGTGAAACTTTGTTGTGCATGTGTCTCATGAAGTTTTTTAGGCATCAAGGGTAGATTTCACCCCCTTAGACATTTTATAAAGGGCAATAGCACGTGAAACTTTATTGTGCAAGTGCCTCATGAATTTTATTGGATCTCAAGGGCGGGTTTCACCCTTTTAGACATTTTTTAAAGGGCATTAGACTGTGAAACTTTGTTGTGCAAATATCTCATGCATTTTATTGGATCTCAAGGGCGGGTTTCACCCTTTTAGACATTTTTTAAGGGGTATTTAGACTGTGAAAGTTTGTTGTGCAAGTGTCTCATGAAGTTTTTTAGACCTCAAGGGTAGATTTCACCCCTTTAGACATTTTTTAAAGGGCAATAGAACGTGAAACTTTATTGTGCAAGTGTCTCATGAATTTTATTGGGTCTCGAGGGCGGGTTTCATCCTTTGAGACATTTTTAAAGGCCATTAGACTGTGAAACTTTGTTGTGCATGTGTCTCATGAAGTTTTTTAGGCATCAAGGGTAGATTTCACCCCCTTAGACATTTTATAAAGGGCAATAGCACGTGAAACTTTATTGTGCAAGTGCCTCATGAATTTTATTGGATCTCAAGGGCGGGTTTCACCCTTTTAGACATTTTTTAAAGGGCATTAGACTGTGAAACTTTGTTGTGCAAATATCTCATGCATTTTATTGGATCTCAAGGGCGGGTTTCACCCTTTTAGACATTTTTTAAGGGGTATTTAGACTGTGAAAGTTTGTTGTGCAAGTGTCTCATGAAGTTTTTTAGACCTCAAGGGTAGATTTCACCCCTTTAGACATTTTTTAAAGGGCAATAGAACGTGAAACTATTGTGCAAGTGTCTCGTGAATTTTATTGGATCTCAAGGGCGGGTTTCACCCTTTTAGACATTTTTTAAAGACCTTTAGACTGTGAAACTTTGTTGTGCATGTGTCTCATGAAGTTTTTTAGACATCAAGGGTAGATTTCACCCCTTTAGACATTTTTTAAAGGGCAATAGAACGTGAAACTTTATTGTGCAAGTGTCTCATGAATTTTATTGGATCTCAAGGGCGGGTTTCACCCTT